GCGGTTTATGACTACGCGTACAACGGAACCGAAACGACTGAAAATTAATCCGTGAATTGTGTCGATCGATCGCGAGACACGTGGAGCTTGAACGGCTCCGGACAACGTCCCCCTTCCAGCTAAGGTGACCATTGCCATTTCGGTGCACAGGATACTGAGAAATTTACGAATTTACAGACGCATCGTTCCCGATTAACGGACATTGCTCTCCCGCCGGCCAATAACTTAAATGTAAAACACGTTCGCTACGAATTTCTTGATATACCTAAAGACACAGCGCCCACGCGTACGGAGTATTGATAAAATTATGGAACACTTACACAGAGTAGATTCTAGATGTCAAACTGAAGCGAAAATCAAGAATGAGGAACTTGCGTTGGCGTTGACGTCACATTCCCCCTCATTGCCACCCTACACTATAGTAAAAGCCAAATAATACTATAAATGTTTAGCACATCTCGAATCAGCAACAGAGGTCTCACGAACCCTTTTTCCTCCTACTTTCCTGCTTTCTGTAACATGGACGATAGAATTTGTCATACACCGGGTGACATAATGAAGTACTTCTCAAGACTCGAATACTTTTGAATTGGCACGTTTTTACTTCACAGTTAGTTGATGTATGATGCTACACGAGGCATAGTAAACACTCAATTGTTTAAGACGTTGGTAATTAAGGTAACCGAGAGTTATGGTCTTATTTGACTTTTAGTATAGGTCAGTTGCCTTTACTAGCTATACAGTGGACTCCCGATATATTGATTTTCGTCTCAGTTTGGCATGTAGAATCCACACTATAGAAGTGTTCCACACTTTTGTTACACCCTGTATATTACACACACACACACACACACACACACACACACACACACACACACACACACACATATCCAGCTTAACTGACTGACCGAGCCATCGATTAAATAATTTAAAAAATAAAAAAAAAAGAGAACAAGATATATACGTACGTATACGCAGATACAAGTAATAATAATACTAGCGTACAATTTATGATATCTGAAAGAGACCGTTAACAGCCATTGTACAATCTCAGGCCACGCAAGACCGTAAGAAATGTATTCGTGTTTAAACACTCGGTTCGAATCGGTGGACAAGTATATTTTTCTTTATTAGTGGATCTGTTAGTTTCTTTCTGCCTGCAGTTACACGGTACCCGTTGTAAAAATAATTTTACCAGTGATTTCTTGCATTCTATTCCGGTGTTAGCGATGCTCATGACGATGAACTGATAAATTGCTACGAAAGAAGGCATTTTTTTAAAAGTCATAATCACTGTTAGCGTTATGCATTCGAATGGTGTTCTGAAACATTTGCCGAAACTTTATCAACAATTTTACTTTTATGTGTCCATAACCGTGGAAGACTACACGGGTGAGTAACTTCTAATCAAGTGACTCGACTTTAGAGAAATGATTTTAACATCAGTAATTATTAGGCTGCGGATATTTATGCTAATATACATATTGGTCGTCTGATTCAGGAAAATTTGAACGAAACAGAAATTGGATTGTTCCATTAACCCTGAACTATAGATCATTCATCTCAGAGACGAATTTGGATTTTTCTTTCACTGGCACAACCTAACGGAGAATTTTCGTTTGGGTACCTTCAATTGACTATAAATGGCACACTATTTCCAAAACAGTAACGAAAAATAACATTTAGTTGGTTATTAAGAGTGTTACAAAGTATTTGTTGGATTATTAAGAACCGCTAAGTTGGTGAATTTTGTTTCACTTGATACTTAGATTTTCGAAAGATAATTTCCGAAAATGAATATTTTTAGACTTTCCATTTGTTATGAGAGTGAAGAATTTTTTAGATTATAAAAAACACGTTTTCGTCAGCGTGTTTGAAAGAATGTGTTGATAATGTTTGGCCAGACAATTTCAGAACACCAACAGATATGTAATTAGAGTTTTCGTGTACTATTGAAAACAATGACACGTGTAGTGCATGAATCAAATAATTCAGTTTTTATGTCGAATGAAACATACCGATCGAAGGAAAAAAGAAATATAAGAAAATTACCGACGTTTACGTATCACAGAAGTGCATGCATTAAAAGTATCTAAAATATATCGTAGACTTTTTTTATCGTGAGAGAGCTTACTTCACACTTCTGCAGTGAGTCTTTCTCCTTGGAACACTAAGACGTGGAATCCTAAACCGACGGGGAGTATCATTAAATCGCGTTTACACGTACATTGATTATGTGGAAATCCGTTTTCTCTGTGCCAATTCGATTGTGTTGTGTTCCATTATTCGCTTCGTTACATCAGTCTTTTACCAAAAGTTTCGGAATTAAAATTAAAATTACAATTGTTCGTAAAAATTAAATGTTTTTTTTAACAGCAAATTATTCAATATACTTTGCTTCTGAAACGGAACTATTCACGAAAACTGAAACAAAAATGGAAACAGTTGCGAATCTTTTCCGAATGGCCAGAAATATTTTGGGCTCATTTTCTTCCACCTTTATTTTCAACTTTCGGGGAAAAGAATAGTCATAAAAGCCTAAATCGATCAAACACGTCCGTAAATTTAACTATGTAACAGTCCTCGTGACTAAAATTGCATAAACTAAGTGACTCGCGAAACCAAAATTTCGATCGTCGTTCTCACTGTCGCGTCATCTTCGAAAAATATCAAAACCATTCACAGACTTTATACAATAGTTCAGCACAGTGTATTCTCCAAAAAGAAAATTATTTCGTGTTATTCGTAATAAAGATCTTTGATGTATTTATGAAAAATTGTCATTTCAATTTATATTCGTACACGCATTTGGGGCAAACCGTCCGTACCAATTGAAAATATACCAACCGTTAACGGTCTCGCATCGAGTATATCAAATGAAAGCTCGAAAATTAACGTTGCATGATGAAACATAAATTTCTACTTACGCATAGAAAGCAATTTAAACTAGTACGGTAAACGATTACGTGTGTACAAGTATGTAGTCCCAGGGTTTCTTTTGCGAACACGACGAAGAAGCTTCGATTATTATGCAAAATAATAATGTTCCGTCCGCGATCACGTTACTCTTGTTGATATTATCAAGTCACAGCTGAGCGTCATTGAAATGAACCCGATGAAAATTTTTGAAAAAAAAAAAAAAAAAAAAAAAAAAAAAAAAAACAAAGGAATTTTCTGTCGATTTCTGTCTTTTCTCTCGATTTTACCCTAAACGATCCTTATCGTTATTAATTGCCTTTCCTCTGTTTATTTCACTAGCGGTCACATAGATCTTTTTTTAAACACATTTACCACCACGACGATTACTGACATAATACTTTACGTTCACCTCCACGTCGGTCACCGGTGACCGTCACAAAATAGAAATTCAAATGTCAAATAATAAGATCAGCGTGAACGGAAAGTCAGCCGCAATAGGCATAGCAGTGAACGTGTTAACACGTTCCTTGACCGAGTGGGACCATCGATGGCACATGACAGACTTCCAGTTTTGACCTTCGCGGCGTGAACGGAACGTCACGCTAGAAGGCCTGGGTGCATGGAACGTGTTAATAAATGGATTAACGGAAGTTTATGCGTTTACAGTACTCCTCGACTTACGAAACGCAATATAAAATACAAGTTTTAGTCAATTGTAACGCTGCTTGCGTATTATTATAAACGCGGTAAAGCCTCTGATATAGAATTTAAAGTTTGATGCAATTTTTCATTCTACGAAATAGTATCGAAAATTTTGAATTTGCATAAACTTTCGCGGTCTATTGATAAGAGCAATAAAATAATGTGACAAACACTGGTGGAGTCATCCTACCTGTTCGAATGTGTTATTCATTCTAATAAGATGATGAACGATATATCATAATGTTTATACGTTTCATTGATTATGGGTACGGTGACCACACAGTGAGTCCTGTTGCAGATACATGACTTCTCTTGATTTACAGCCGGATGACTAACCAACCACCAAGTCCTGAATGTATTCGGTGGGCCAACGCGAACGCACGATGCATGCTCAAATATATTTGTAAAATAAATATAAGCGAATAATAAATACTTGAGCGTGTTTGTAAATGTACACACCGTGTGCTCCTTGGCGTAATTACGACGAAAAGAGAACCTTAATTTTCTTTTTTTTTTGTTCACGAACCGAATTTCCCGAAAGTAAACGCAGGCGTATTAATAATGCTCGTCGATAATCGTTTCTCCACAGCCACTATATACGATAATTTAAAAAAAAAAAAAAAAAACAAAAATAAGCACATGCATATATCATCCATCCGATTTCAAGATTTCGATCAATTTCAAAACATTTAAACCAATCTTATCGTTAAAAATTCATTAATTTAACATCACTCTAAACGCAGTCGTTTATGTCCTGTCCAACTTTTGCCGAACTTCCCCAATTGCGACATGATACCAAGGGAAAATAGTACGGGCCCGTGTTCGATTCAACCCTGCCACGAGTCTAACGGGCCTTTATCGATCCGATCGCAATTTTTACGCTTTTCCAACAAACCCATTTCACCCAAACCGTGTTCTATTTCGTTCAAAAATGTTCTTATATTCGCGACGAGTATTATAAAAACATTGTTGCCAACACGCAACGTCGTTATTTCATATGTATTGCTGTAAACCGACGACCGTGGCAGGGTTAAAAAAAATCGCACGGACAAAGTGACGACGCAACAAGCCGTCACACGATTACGGAGTGAACAAACGGGATTTTCAATATTATATAATAACACATATATAAGATCAATCCCGAATGAATGTTTCTCGCAGAAGCTTCAAAAGAACGTTTCACGTGTAATGTAGTACGAACAATACTTCGAGTGAAATCTCGGATTCACCCCCTATATCTTGTCATATAGGCCAGGTATCCGTCAGTGTCTCTCACGTACTTTACAGCTGGCTGATCGCAACATTTTCATAATGTTCGAATACATTCAACCGCAAGAGGTGAGAGTGGTAGCGTCTACTTCTATCGAAGTAGTCCTCGGGGTACCTTACGCAATCGTGCAAGTCGAGCAAAGGCTTTCCAACAGCATCTCAGTCGGGTTTAACTCTTTGGAAGAGCTTGAAAAGCGTCGAATGTGAATCAAGAGGAGCGCAAGCTCGACGATTAAAAAATAGAATATAACTTTCCTTCCTTCGATGTCGGGGGGAGTACAGCGCGCGATGGATAAAACCGTTCCCTCCTCTCTCTCTCTCTCTCTCTCTCTCTCTCTCTCTCTCTCTATCCAGGATGCTAACTCTGCAGTCGCGTTCGTCTGAATCCGCGCGTTAGCCTACGCGACCAGATGATGTCGTTTCACGCGGCGGTTATCGAACCGATACGCGTCGAAGATGTCGCGTAACGACGGAACACGGGGTCGTGTCGATCGAACACAGCCGATCCATCACCAGTGTTGCTGGTGGGTACCTCGACACACCGATACGGGACAGTCTTTCCTCAAACGAATTTCAACTTCCTTTGATTCTGTCAGACGGTCGAGTGCGTGGTCGAGGAGGGTTGCGTGCTGGACGCCGTCGTCGACTGTGGCGCGGACGTTGACGGCGAGCTGACCACAACGACAGGCTTCACCAATGTCGTGGTGTTGATGTACTGAGCGTTCACGATCGGCATCTGGGCGACCGATTTCAGGATCGGCGTGGTGACAATTTTACCGGCGAGACTCGACGGGGCCAGGATATGAGCGGTCACTTGATTCCCCTGCGAGACGACGGTCATCGGCGTAACGATTGGCGTCAGGCCGGATATAGGTGTGTGCGGGCCAACAATGTGCGCTATACCCTCTGTGGACGGAGCATTCTGCATCACTGTCGAGCCGGGTTTACCTGTCGTGGCTTGAAGCGATACACCTGCGTGGCTCAGTGTTAATCCTGTAACCCGCAAGAGTAAATTACACGATCAGCTGCGCTGCGTGGCGATTAGATTAAATGGGACTTACGAGAACACACACTGCGTGGTCGTAACTATAAAAACAACCCTAACATTTGCTAATCCTTATGCACTGCGGTTAAAATAAAAACCATTTTTTTTTTTTTTTTTTTTTTTTTTTTTTGGGAATCTATCGCTTCCTGGAGAAACGTTATTCTTCGACACGATTTCGGGCATAGCATACTTGGGTTGTTTTTATTTTTACCACAATACGTAAGAATTGAAAATTTTAGGGTGGTTTTATAGTTATGCCACGCAGTGTAGGTATATTAGGTAGGTACTGCGAAAAGTTTGCCCCATTTTTAACTGAAGGATGACCAATGTGCATCACCCGAGACACAGACTTTAAGCCTACGTTAAAACGTAGGCTAACAGCTTTTACAACGTTTACACGAGATTTCGATATGGATCAGACATGACCCGGCTACGCCTTCCACGCGTTTGTCTTCTCAGGAATGAATCATGTGTCTTGATGTTTCGGAAGAATACAGAATATCGTATATTTAATGGACTCATTATTTAACCGTCTTTAAGATAATCGTATTATTTTAGTTAAGTGAGTTACAGATGGAATACGTAACGAATTAGACACGATATAGTAGAACCTCGAAACGAACCTTCGTAATCGAATTTTCTTAAATAATCGAACTATGGTACATTAAAGCACAAATGACTGTTTTTTTTTCTTCTTTGTACGTATGGTATTAGTAACAGAAATTTTATTATTTTACGTGATTTTTATTCAGCTTCAATATCATTTTTCTTGATACGATAAGTTTCGATCAACTTTCATTGCCTATTTCATAAGTAAATATACGGAGTGTTCCACTTAAGACCAAACACCTAAGTAGCTTGTTTACTTTTAATGATATGAGAATTGTTAAATGTATTTAGGTGTTCAGTTTTAGGTGAGACAACTTGTATAATATTTAAAAATATTAAGCTACTAATACACACGTCCTGCAGTCCAGCTCGTAATAAACATACTATAGGAGTTATCTGTAATATCTCACATAACCGAAAATTAATTAGTTAATCAAGGCTGTGTATAGTAAGCACCGTGTAGATATTGACACGATATAATTGATGATAATGTAACTAAAACAACTGGAAACTGCAAAAAATGCTGTATGCAATCTGAATAATTTTTTAAAGCGATTGTTAAATATAATGTTAGATATTTTAGAATAAAATTATTTAGTTGAAAAATTGCTTAATTACAGCCCACCAGAACAAGAACAACAACTTTCCGCAGTCCTACGAAAAGAAATAATGTTACAAAAAATGATGTCAATCATCTTCAAAGCGACCCGTATAGAACATACATACGGATCGTTCTGCAATGAATATTTTATTTTTGCATCATTCATTACAAAATCGCAACAGTGCGACTCTGCCTTTGGTATATGATGCTATTTTATTTTATATTTCAGAAAAAAAATCCTAAGGAGAAATTCAGACCGGGCAAGCGGGACTAGAACCCGCGGCCCTTCGAGATCTCTTTGGCTGGCCTATGCCTTAACGACCATAGCCATTGTACCCTCCCACTTTCTACAGTTTTCCAATTCTACTTATGCCTGTATAACTCAAATAATTCCTATTGCTTAAAATATTTTTATCTGTATATACTGTTTACTACTGATCAGTTAAAAACATTTATGTTAAATTTACATTTCTAAAGGTTTTAGTTTCTCCCTAATAAGTTTTTGACCTTCGGGTCACACTGGACAGTTGCGTATTTTCACATGAGCAGCCATATTGTAATATTCGAGCTACATTGGTCGATTGTGGAAACAAAACATCCTCATATGCTCAATAATAGCAAAATTGGTATGACTAGCAAAGTTATATGGCGTTATAGAGGGTTAACCATTAACTCCAGGCGACTCGTATCAGAGAGAATAATTTCAATTTCGACAATAGTGTGCCACTTATTGTCAATTGAAGGTACTCAAACGTTAGAGAGCTTCCAAAATTCTCCAGTAGATTGTACTAATGAAGGAAAAGTTCGAATTCGTCTCTGAGACGAGTGGTCTATAATTAAGGATTAAGGAAACATTCTATAGTTTGGAGAAAAAATAAACCCTTTGTGGAAAATTGTTGACTACAAATCCTTTTATCCAAATTTAAAGAAGTATTAATATTAGAAAGGTTTAAAGGACGTAGTGTCCAGATTACTGCACAAGCACGAATAACTTTTTTTCCAAACTGGCCACATAGATATATCCGATAAAGCACTGGATCAACTAACTTGCATTTTTATAGACAAGTTGGGAATATACCTCGCTGTGTCCTTTACCACTTACTATTGGGATGGTGGACGGATGGAAATAAATGAACGACCACCGTTTACATCATCAACATTACAACTTTGTAAAGTTTATATACATAAATCAAATTGTTGTCCACTAAAATACATTTTCATTTCCATTTTATCGATATTGCAATATCTTCAAGTTTATACATGTCGTACATCGTTTTACTTGTGGACCAATATTTCGTCAAAGAGATATATACGCCAATCTAATAGTTCATGAGATTTTTAAATGATTACATCATTCAACTTTTAAGTTAAAGGCTGTTTTCGACGACTTAATATGCTTGACCCTCCATGTGTCATGTTTTCCATCCTGATCGGATGATAGACGCGTGGTCAGGCACAAAAAAAGGTTTTCCGCTTCGATATTCTCGACATTTCTGTGGCTACATTGTATATTGTTACCCCAGAATTTCAGACAAGTATGAGGGTATTGCTGAACAAACTTTTCGAGGAATTTTCAATAAAACACAGAATCTTTTGCTCTTGTATATGTTGAAAGAAATACGAATATGTTCCTCGAAATGATAACATTAGACGAGTGACGGGATTGGAATATGTTGAAACACAAGCATACCATTTGCTGGGAGTATGTTTAATTCGGCACCACCTGGTAATCTAGTCAGCTCTGATCCATTTCCACCGACGAGTGTCACACCACCGACCATTTTATGCGTGGTTTGTGCGTCTCCTGCTCTTATCCTTGTTTGAGCGTCTGTAACAGAATTTTACGTTGAAGACATTATTAAGGATTAGACTGCAACTTATTATAGGACAATAATATGGATAATCCTCGCGTTAAACTTCAGATGAAACAAAATGATTAAGTAGGATGCACCATCAACTCTATATACCATAAATTAAATAATACAAACAAATGTTATAGACAGACGCTGCATTGTTTTGAGGGAGACGTAACATGTATTAACCCCTAACTACCCTAAAATGTTCACAGGCATAGACCACACAAAAACTGACACTGACTTTTAAATACTCCAACGCATCCACCCATAAAGAATCGCTCGTGACAATATTACAACCCCCTCAAATCTTCAAAACTTTCATAAACAGCATTTCCCCTTACTACTTCAAACAATAACGCTATTCTGTACGTATAAACTTGACGGCACACTCCATACATTATACATCAAGAAACCAAAAGTACCTATAAAAAAAAAAATCTAGAACTGCTCTAACTGCTTATGAATCAGCCGACACTATGCCACAACGTGTTTGGTGTTCTCACTAATGAACTGAAACGAAGAATAATCGGCTCCAGTCGAGCATCATCGTCCACGTCGGAGGATTATCCGGCAAAACTGTCCACAATCGGATCGTCGCCCCGAAAAATTCTATATTACTCACTCGACACGTTCAACGCAGGAGAATGCGCGGCGAGAACTAACGGCCTTCCCTCGTTCGCCGAATGCACAAATGTGACCGGCCTGACGTCATTGGCGGACGACTGCACGGCTAAGGCCAACGACCTGTCGTTGTTGGACAGATTAGAATGCACGAACGTCACCCTGTTGTCGTTGGCCGTGGACGAGTGAACGACCAACGCGACGGGCCTTGGCTCGCTTCCAGTGTTCGATTGCACGGCGATCAGCGGCCTCGATTGATCCGCAGAATTCTGCACGGCCAACGTCAACGGTCGAGATTCGTTGTTGCCGGCCGTGTGCGCGACCAATAGCTGCCTGGTGTCGCCTGGTATCACCCTCAGGCTCGGCCCAAGGTGCTGTAACGTCGGGACGATTGTCGCCAGGCCCTGGTTCGTGTTCAACATCTGTGCGCTGATCGGCAAATGCAGCTGATGCGGCTGCTGGACTATGCCGGTCGGCGATGTGTTCACTTTCTCCTGGAAGCAAAGTCAAAACCGAATCGTTTAGGGACTAATCTATTCGTTCGGTCCAGCTTGGTGAATTTTACCAGGGAATATCACCCCCAAAGCGAAATTTTTTTTCGTCGTTCAAACTGGCATGAATTTGTAGAGAATTAAAAATGATTGAACACGTGTTTTTTTGTTTTTGCTTCAAAACGGTTTGAGGGGGTGAGACGGCCAATATAATTCTACGTTAAAAATTGCGCAATTTTCCTTTCAAACATTTTTCGATACGAGAATCAATTTACACGTAATCGTAAAAAGTATTTCGAGTGGCGAACTTGAAGGGGTTGTTTCACCTCTTCAAACCTTTTTTTTTTAGCAAAAACAAACAAAATACGCGTTCAATAGTTTTCAATGCTCCACAAATTCATACCAGTTTGAATGACGAACAAAAATTTCCCTCTGGAAATATATCCTTGTTTCAAACACTTCACCGCGGTGATCGCAGAACGAATAATATTTATTTACAAGCTCTCGCGGTGAAAAGCGTTTTGGACGTCGATGAAGTATTTACACAGAAAAATCATCTTTCTTTGAGTGAAAGTAAAAACAAAAATATTATGTAATCGTACGTAGAAATTAGCAACTTCGATTAATAATGCCTTCTTGATTACTGAATTGTAAGATTATGTTCTCGTGGTATTTTCTATTCAAAAATTCAGTTTAAAATTACAGACGTATCTTCATACAATTACTATTAAACCCAAGTACCCGTGGTAGCGTTGGTTACTCGGCCAGTAGACTCGCGCTCTGATTGGTCGAGGTTTCTCGTTAATATCTCGTTAACAAACCCTCGGATAACATTTTTGCTAAGGAAAAAGTTGTTTCAAATCATCCCAGGAACCCCTCATTTCTGAGAGTCGAAGCTATTTTGGGATACCCTGTATATATCATACGCGTAACAATCTAACGTTTTGGTTGGGCACGTTAATCGAGTCATCATGTGTGGTATAACGTTTCTGCAGCGGACAACACTTTGTTCCTTCGGTGTTCGAGATTTACCTGCGCGGGGGTAGGAATGCTAGGCGTAGACGTTCCAGGACTTGAGCTTGCAGGTGGACTTTCCCTGGAACTTTGCGCGAGGTTCAGACCCTGCGTCTGGCAGACAACAGCCGCGGTCGCGACTTGATTATGAATATTGGAAGCGGTGCTGCTGGTGGTTTGAAGCGTCTGCGGTGAACTGGCAGTTGCCGCGCTGCTCAGGCTGCTGGTGCTGCTGTACCTCGTGCCGCCCCGAGCGAGCCCCGTAACGTCGACCTCCATATTTTCTGAAACTTTAACAGAACTTAATTCAAAATAAATCTTTACAGTCGGAGTTCACGATTGGTCGGTAATTTTTAACTCTAGATGTCCCGAGATTCGGGTCGATTACGATTGTTTTTGAAAACCATACTAGCGGATGACGCGGTTTTGCGCCAGAACCGAACGGAACTAATTACTACCGGTAGAGCACATCTTGTAATGGGAACTTTGATGATTCGAAAATACCAATTTTTTGTTGAAACATTGCAGATTTGTAAGGTACCTAAATATCGGAGGCATTAGTTTCTGCTACTTTATTCGGTTCCTTAATATGTTCAATCTATTATATATGTTATATTATATGTATATTGTGTGATTATTAGCAGCAACAACGGTAAGCTTAACATATGTTCAGACGACTATTGCTTTCCCACTAAGCTAATATTTATTTATTCCACGCCTATATTGTATTGCACATCACGATAGGATTCGTCGTAAAGATTGTGGTAAGCTTAGAAGAACATAAAAAGAAAGAACATTACAAGCTGAGAAACTATAAAATTTACAAGAAAACAATAATATACGCTAACAACAACAAAAGGGTCGATATCTACAGTATGCCCGATTTAAATGTACTTAGAATTTATAACTCATATTATGAGTTTGAAAATTCAATATGGCATCGTATTGTATAGTTTACTTTTTTTCGGAAAATTAGTTTATCAGTTTGGTTTCTGAAATACTCATATGTTGCCAAATAATTATTAACAGAAAGATTTTTATAACAAAACTGGGTATTAGTATCGATTTAAAAAAAAGTTATAGAATTTGTTCAGTAGGCTAGATGCAACAGGACCGTTCACGGTAACGATCCTCCAATTGTTTCGAGCATATTGTACCTGTTACAATCGGAAACTTACCGCTTTTCGTAGCTGTTACGTCGGTAGCCGAATTCTGTTCCGGCAGAAGAGTATTAAAATCAATGTGATCCCAGGTAGCTGCGAGCTCCTTCTTTAAAGCTAATAATCTTTGCTGGGCAGCAATCTTTTCCCTGGCAAGCCTTTCCATCTCGTGCTCGTAGTCCCTTTCCTTCCTCCTCAACGTCTACAACAGAGTTATCGCAACGTTGTAGAAACATCATTTCCGCCCCCGAGAGTATTGTTATATTCATCCGAAACTTTTTCTACGAAAAACTGGATTAACCCCCTACTGCCCAGCGTAACTTTCGAGGTCATATTCCAGTTTTTACTGTTATCAAAGAAATGGGAATGTTTCTCTCTCTTGACCAATGTAAACATGTTTTTTTTTTTTTACGACGCGTTGAAGAATATGTATATAGTGTATTAAATAGAAGCAGTGCTTTGAATTGAAATGAAAAAAGTATCATTTACTGCAGAAATCCGAGATTACTTTCTAGACAATCCAATATGCTGAAAAAACTGAACCCTCCGAAATAGAAAATTTAACTTCCATGTGTTCAACTGGGTCAGTAGTGAACGGTATATACGAATAAAAAAAGTTTTGCACAATAAAAATTAATTCGGGCAGCAGGGGGTATCATATTTATGCTTTAAAACTCTCATTTTTAGAATTCTTTCAATTGTAAGTTTGCTCGGAAAAAATAGATTGATTTTCGTCATCGATAAATGTTTGACGTTTCATTCTCAGATATTACGCTATATAAGATATTTCCAATTAACGTAACTTTGAAAATAATACTTTTTATACTCCGCTGTAGAGAAAGAAAAAGTATACTGCGTGTTGGCTTGTATACTCATCAGTTGGATAATTATTCTGTGGCGAATTATATTTACAAGATTGTAAATATCGCTGCTTGGAAGTTAAAGGTATTTTTTCGTATAATTTAATAGCTTTGATCACACAATTGCACATTTTAACTGCACCGGTGGGTTAAGGTGTATAAGAAGTATCTAAGTATCCGACATGATTTAATTTTATATTATAAAACTTTTGAATATTTCTAACAGTGTTAAAGAAACAGACCAATCCAACTGTATAGTGCATAAAATATAAATCGGCAAAAGTAGTGTATTAAATTCTGAAAAATAAAGTTTTTCCGTATTTTTACAATTTGACAGTGTTATTAAACGAATCTGGAATATTTTGCATCGACTAGATCAGGTAAATATTCTGGATAATTAACGGATCCTAAAAGAAATAATCCATAGAGTAAGGAAACTTTAGAATGTACACAAACTTAATTAAAAGAAATTACCACCATTGGTAGCTTACTAATTGGCTTTCGGTACGACCAAAGGCATTAGAGTTTTGTGACGAGTACAAGTGGAACATCTAAATTATAAAGTTTCATAATTCGATACTCCCTGTTCTTGAAGTTTGAGGTATTATATTTCAGGTTAAACGATAGAAAACCTTTTTTATTCTTTACCTGGCTCAATCTTAACCCTTCACTGTAGACTATTCGTCTCCGAGATAAATAATCCGACAATTTTGTGACACTTTTAACCTTTTCAGGGACGAATATATTAAGATCAAAAGAACAATTTTTTTTTTATTTTTCAGGTGTTTTTCAAGCATCGCTCTAATAAATTACCTTTCGATAAGTCTTGCTAAATCGGTAACAAATGACCTTCAATACATTTGGTGAAACGAGGTGGCCGATGGTCACGTCTTACAAAATCGGCTGTAACTCCGTTATTTTGACAAATTAGATCAAATTTTGAGAATATGTTTTTCAAGCGTTATACTTTCAATGTATGAACCCAAACACTGATTTCTTGAAGCCATGACACGAGAATTCCCCCTTTAAGAAGGGTAAGAGTTACATACCGCGAGTAACAGTTACGTTATTGTTTTTCTAAGATCGACTGCCGGAGACGCGGGCATGGAAAAGCAAGAGAAAGCCGATAGAAATATTTTCGCCTCATTTTCAAAAGCGTGCACACGTTCGCGCGAATGTCACATGATACTCCTTCGGACACAGGACACCTCTCCCTCGAAATACGATAAGGCTTTGCGTTTGACGTCAGCATTGCACACAGTGACACGTGAAGGAACGTGTGCACATGACCACTAGCCACCAAGCGATACACACGCTTCCACGGAAGCTCGAAGGGGGGGAGAGGGGTGAGGAGGAAAATGCAAGGACGAAATTCTTTATGTGTGTAATTCAAATCTGATCAAGTGCGGCCCGATTCGTGCCTCGTTTGAATCGCGACCGGTGCTCGACAAGTCACGCAGATCGAAGCTGAGAACTCATGATAATCGGACTACTGGCCTCTATACTCTTATAACGTGGATTATACGAACTTCGGTAATGTAAAAACTTCTCTTGGAGCCTGATTAAGAACTCCGATGAAACCTTACCAAGACCTTAATGATATCTTGCTTTTCCACTTCTTCTGCGGCGTAGTCTTATTTCCATGTGAAAGTTGAAATTTTGTTGAATGTGTAGTCGATTTTGTTTAAAGTTTTATTATGAAAATTTGTGAATTACTTGAAAAACACAGAGTGTGGTTTATTGGATAAAAGAATTTAATAATAACTACCAGGTAAGCGACGCCGCACAGTGGTTTGAAATCGCGAAAACGTGGTAAAAACGCTCGAAAAATTGAAATTCAAAAATGGATGCTCTTCTGTTACGGGTCAATAGCTGGAATATACAGTGTGTCATCATCTGAGGACACTTATTTTGGAAATTATGAATGGTACGAAAAAATGTGTTTCGGGCAAAAGTCTATATTTACATAAAACTCCGCAGTCTAGTAATTTCGAAACCACTGTGCTCTGGCTTGTGGCGGGTGTTTCGAAGAATTCGCTAGCTGTCCTGAATGCGTTAAAACGGCGATAAGCGTGTCGTGTGACATCAGCGAAACGGTTTCGTAAAGAAATGCACGGGACAACGTGCGCTACCCGCTACCAACGCGATCCTGATACGGTACACGTGGTAGAGGTTGGTTAACCATATAGGCCTGGTGACCGTGCAACACCAACATAGTAAACCCACGAGCCCCTGGCCACCGGTCATCGATCGTCGCCATATTTTATCGCTTGGTCTGCTTCTGTTTATACTCAATTTCAATATTTTTACATAGGCTGGGGCATTCAACCCTTTGCACTCTGACGGTGTGTCTCACTCGCCACGCGATTCTTTTATTATTAATATGTATAAATATAATATTGGGTTTTTCAAAAAGTAATTTCGTTTCTTTTTTCCTCTGCAACGTGGTTAAGACTCGACATGGTGCTCCACCAGAGAGCCTAAGATTATTAAGGTAAGCCGGCCGCGGAGAGAAAAGCGGAAATCTGCGACGTGCCAGGCAGGGGAAGGGGGAGTTTAAAAAGAGAGAAAGGAGAGCAAGGCAGCCGTGCATGAAGAAGAACGCAGAGACAGAGATGAGATGATCGAAGGGGTTATTCGCACACAAATATAAACAGACGGAGAAGAAGGCCTTTTTGTCGTTGGAACGAGCATGAACCGTGCTACCGAGGAAAGGGGATACGTCTACTAGAAAGCAAGGGATAGCCAGACGTGTGCAAGAGCAAAACAACAACGCGAGACAAAGAAGAGCGTATCGGGGAAGGGGGAAAGATCACGAGAAAGACGGAAATACAGAACAGAAATAGAGGACAGACACACTTACACACACACACACACACACACACACACGCAGGCGCAGGGGCCTAGAGAGATCGGAAAGAGACGGTGAAGGGGGTCGAAGGGGAAGGAGAACGAAGGTCGTTACATGAATAGGCGCACGCGCGGCCTGCAAGCACGTGGTTAAACCGCCTCCAACACACAGCCCCCGCGAGCACGATATAACACACGCCACGGATATTGCAAATAATGCTTTCGTTTCTTTCTACCTTATCGAGGCACTATCTGCCGTGTCGCAAGTGTCACGACGGATCGTTTTACTTTATGAAATTTCACTGTGTAATAGCCTAGGGACCAACAGCGAGGGCCTACCAAGCCTGAAGGCGACAAAGTGCACGCTGTGTATGTGTGCGTGTGTTGCTTGCTCCCTTGTATCTTTGTTGGATCACCTAGCCTTCTCCTAGCCGGGATTCACAAAGGAGTTACCATGATAGATCAGCGGCATGATAAGGGACGTGGGTTAGAATCTTCCGAAAAGAAATGAACCGGTAAGAGTAACTTAATGTGGCTAAGGGTTTGAAGTCATCGACCATCCCCAATTGAACATCCATAGAATGTGTACCTGTGTACAGGCTGAGGCAAAAGTAACTTAGGGATTCGTTTCCTTAGTAATTTGAAAAGGGATAAAAACTGATACAGACTTCTCTCGATTATAGTCCCGAACTCGGGTCCGTGTCGGGACAATAATCTTACAGGAGCAAATGCTTCAGACTCTCGTAAATTTTTTTTTTTGCTCGAAGCTCGATCCTCGGCAACAAAGCTGTTGGGGGGGGGGGCAACAAAGAATGCGCTTGACAGTTTCCACTCCCCCTCCCCAGTGACGGGGATAACGCCTGGACAATAATCGTGTAGAACAAGCCAGACGATAACCGAAATTTAAGTTTATTTTTTCTTAGTTTATGAAATATTTAATGTTCAGTGCCGAGGAGCCTTCGAACACACATCAAGGATTTACTGTAAACGAAAAGCTATATCAAGTAATGCATTAAAAATCTCGGATTCCCAACACCTTGTTCCCGAAATAACCACCTTTTTCACCGTCCTTTTCACAAGCTAATATTTATTAACCCCGCGGCTGTTAATCGAACATCAATCTTTTATCGTGGCCACTCAAGTGTCACACGATAATAATTACATTGCACTTCAGGCGCTGTCCATGCATATTCAAGGAGAGTACGTTTATCCGCGTTTAACGAAGTCCGACACATAAAAGCGGAACGTTTCCACCGGTTGTGTGCAGATCTCCTGTTCGCATCCGGACACCAAGCGGATGCCTACACTAATCTCGGAAATAATACCGCGGTTTGCTTAACGATCTTGAAAATCTGCCAGCCATTCTGCCAAGTTATTATTGCAACCGGTTAATCGCAGGAGTGCGGTTTAAATGCCGCTGACTTTTAGGCAGAATTTAGGAATTACATTTTCAACTCGAACGCGATTAAAACTGCTTTACTTTCGACGCTATCCTGGGGAAACTGTCTTTGTTGCTACACTCTATACCTCGAAGCAGATCTGGGCACTTCCGAAATGATATTATTTGAAATATTATTTCGGAATATTATTTTCAATAATTTCATTTCAAAATAATGTTCTGATTATTTGAAATCATTCTTAGAAATAACTGTGACATTGTGCTTTGAAATTATATCTGGTGACTACGTCTGAGTTTCGTTTATTGACATTTTTCTGAAGAGTAACATCCCGCTTCCATCTTCCACACCAGTGGAACGATTATTTTCTTTCGCGGCAAACGCCCATCGCTAACAGTAATTCCCTGAATCTAGAAAATATCGAAGCGCAGCGTTGTTTCGTACCTTAACAGCCACCGACAATGGCGTCGAACGATAAAAGTTCGGATAGCAGCGTGTGCCGTACGTGCCATGCGGCGTGACACCGATGGCCGCGTAGTCACGTGGAACCAATATAGGTACAACGACTGCACACACATACACATACACACGCAAACACGAAGAAACGTTCGTGCAAAACACGCACGCGGAGAGGACAGGCCGATTAGAACCGGTGAGACGAACGGAGTTGAGGAACGTGTTGCGTGAGTCGGGAAGAAAAGGATGACCCGAAGGGAGAAAGGCAAAAATAGAACGAGACAGAAAAGTACGTGTGGACAATGCTAAGACGAGAGAGAGTGAGACGGATGACAGGGAACAGAAAGAAGGTGGTGAGAAAGATAGAGAGAGGATCTGGTGGGGAGGACGAAACCGCAAAGATGGGAACGCAACCAGGGAGAAAACGTGAGATGGAAGATACGAACGGTGTGGCGGGCAACTTCTGGGCTCTCGCCGCCAGAGAGAGCTCTGAACCATGGCGATTGGTAGAGGTAGCAATGATTTCTCATGATTTTCCAGCAATTTGGCAATCAAGCACTCATTCAGTAGGTGTAATGCGTAATCTATTGGGTTGTCGGATAAGTCTTAAGGCCCCTTGCCCCTTTAGCTGACGGAAAAGAAAGTTATATTCAGGAATTTTCTTCAAAAGAAAGCAAGGATGTTATGGTAGAAACACTTTATAGCTTATCATTTATCACCAATTATTTCTACTTATATTATTGAAAATTAATATGTTTATAAACACCGACGGTAGTATGGTATTATTCAAATTATGTAATCATTTGATATAAATAGATAGGTACGCGATAATAGAATCCGTAGAAGATTTTATCGTGTCACGGAACGTGTTTACTAAAAAGTAGAAACAGTTGGTAATGGTCAGCCACGCTAGTCCTTCGTCATAGTGTTGCAGTCAAAGAAATAAAAAAGAAATGAGAAAGGTAATTATTGACGATACAAAAATACTCTGAGCGATTCAGTTATAGATTATTCCAAAATACTGTCCGAATCGAGCATTTGGAGAAAGTCGTTACCGTTCGAAATCTGTTAATTCGCCGTATCTTATCAATTACATACATTGACGCGTGACGAAATATACCGAAAATTGTGTATATTAATTACTGTATCAATGATAATGCTACGACACCGGGATGCAAGTAAATCCATTTATTGTGTCAATGTACAATTAAACACAAACAAACAAGTACACTACCGTCCAAAAACTTGTACAATATCATACATTGTACTCAGTTAAAAAATTCTGATCGACCTAAGAGAATTCTTTGTATAGCAATTGAATAAATGTTTCTAAACATGGTGTGATATTATAACTGGAGGTATAACCTGGTAGAGGGGTGATTCTACGTGAAAAAATAAGAGGAGAATATATGTAGAATAAAATTTTTTCATTTGAAATTTCGTTTTCGAGGAAATCAAGTTTGTAAATTAATCTGAAACGCGTGTATTCATAATGGTAGTAAATAGAAACGGAATGCAATTAACAGGCTCGCTAGGTCACGTCCTATTCAATTTGCACGCGTATCCAACAGATTTTCAATGTTGATTATCTTGAAAACGAAGTCTAAAATAAAAAAATTATATTCTACATTTTTTACTTATTATTTCACGTAGAATAACACCGTATTCTGTTGCACCATCAGTTACATGACACCCTGTATATTCGTGCCGGCATGCAAGTAGAAACGGAATGTAATGAACAGACACGTCAGATAACTTCTATTTCAATTGTACGCGTACCTAGCGGATATTCAAATTGGATTATCTCAGAAACAAAGCATCATACGAAAAAATTTTATTCTACATTTTCGATTCATTTTTGCATGTAGAATAATCTCCGCACGGGCTGTATCGTCATTTTGAAAACATCCAGTAGATTTTATGGATTAATGTAGAGAAACTGGATCCAAGTAAAAAATGGGTTTATTAATACAAATTAGTATGAAGGTACGTCATAAACAATCTCTTCACTGAAAATTCTATAATGGTGTGTAATAGTTATAGTATTAATAGACCGTTTTTTAATCTTAACCCACAGACAAAGACAACGTCCTGGTCTTCATTTATTATACAATAAATAAAGGCTAGGCAGTTTTTTTTACCATATCTCCTTCGCTTTTTTTTTTAAATTCCTAAGTGTCAACCTTTTTTCCGGCCGCTATAGGAAAGAGGGGCCTTAACTGGGACCCCTTGTCGTAGGTCACTGCGCAACTAGGGGGCGCTTCCGATCGAAAAATGTACTGCTGAACAGGTTAGGTTATGATAGGTTAGGTCTATATATTGTTCTCAACACAATAAAGGGACGTGCACATACCTGTATATGCCTGATTGCTGCATGAAGAATGGAAAGATTCGAAGACTTCTTCTCGTCCTGCGAGGGTAGCTGCCTCTTTAGCAATTCGAAGCATTCCTTCAGATGCGCTCTTCGATTCTTCTCCAGTTTATTGTGCACCTCCCTCGTGCCAGATCGGATTACGCACGGCCTAGAATAGAGAAACGTACACGTACAGATGTGGTACACGATGTTTCGTGGCCACAATTGCTTTTTATTTCGGAACCAGTCCAAATATTAGAGACCTATCAACTGTTAGCTGTATACCTTAATGCTATTATCTCGTGTCTCAAGCGAACAGGAATAATTTACATGGATTAATGGTACTGAAATGTTAACGCATAAGACACTCGCACAGAAACCGTGCAAACGTTTGATGTGTTTACGATGATCTGACAGAGATGTCCGTCGAATTTGTCATACAATTTCAAAACGATTTGCGTAGAATTCTGGCACCCATCGTGCAAGAGCGTGTGTATTACTCTTGCGCCACTTTCGTACGAAATCGCAACGAGATGATCTGATTACGAGGAAAGAAAATGAAAAAAAAAAAAAAAAAAAGAAACATTGCAAATCTTCTGTATATTTTTATATCGCGTCATATTTTTGAATGAAGTTCGCGTATGTTTGCAGCAGTATTGTTAGGATGGGCATCGTTTGTCCGCAAAATTCCCAGAATAATTGTTCAATAAAAACATAAATTTTGCACGTAAACAAATTTTATTAATTTAATGCTCTACATAAACGCTTCCCCTGTCAATACACGGATTTCAACGATCCAGAAGTCCTTCAAAGACCTTAAGGAAATCGTTTTTGGAGGATTGCTTTAGAACAGTTCGTTACGGTTCTTTGAATTTCCAAAAAGGACTCATGCTGTTTTCCCTTCGTCGAAAATTTGACTTTTGGGAGTAAACAGATATTTGCTGGAGCTAAATCCGGCGAATAGGGTGAATGCAAGTTTTGAAATTTGACTATAGGGTACAAATTGGCTTTTGGGAATAACTAAAAGTCTGTTGGAGCTAAATTCGGCAAATAGGGTGGATGCAAAAGTGTTGAAATTTGACTATGGGGTTTAAATTGATTTTTGGGAGTAAACAGAAATCTGCTGGAGCTAAATCCGGCGAATAAGGTGGATGCAAAAGTTTTGAAATTTGACTATGGGGTGGAAATTGGCTTTTGGGAATAAATAGAAATCTGCTGAAGTTAAATCCGGCAAATAGGGTGAATGTGAAAGTCTTGTCACCTGCTTTTTAGCCAAAAATTGGCTCACAATTGTCAAAGTATGTGCCCGTGCGTTGTTGCGCAAAAAGAAACAATAAATGCGAACAGTAAATCTGGATCCACCCTATTCACTTTATTTAGGCCCAGCAGACTTCTATTTACTATGAAAAGTCTAGATACTATGGTCCAAGGGTTTTTCTAAGTCTGGCTTATTGGAAGAAGCTTGAATGGAAACTTACATAAATAATAATATTAAAAAATAGTAAACATTGAGGAATAGGTCTACAAATATTCATAAAATCGAAACGAAAACCCCCATCTATAAATCACTAGACAGTCTAGACACTAGATTGTTTTCTGAAAAACGAAGATCGAAAGAGAAACGCAAATTCTTGAATGAATTTCGGTAATTAACTTGTACTAATACAAGCGTTTCGACATGATTGAATGAAATATTCAGCAGGTATATCAGCAGAAGAGTAAAAAATTATTCCATGGTACAGTAAAACAGTAATGACGTTTTAACTCATAGCTGCGGCGTACTTACGATGAAGTCGCGATTTCCCACTGCTCGTTGGTAAATGAATATCGCAAAGCTCCTTGTGAAATGGTGTGATTGTGTATGATGATCTGATGTGTCTTGAATAATCTAACACGACTCGGTAACGCACTTAAACTTCACTAACGTTGTGTTTGCACTGACCGAGGGATGTGTTCTGCTTCATGGTTGAATGTATTCTGTCTGATGGTTGTATGGTGGAAAATGTAGAACTTTGATTGGTGTATGTTGTGAAAGAAATGGTGAAGGAGTGGTTAGAAAGATGGAAGAAGTGGGGCGTGGTGTATGTATTATTTTTTGGGATTCCTGAAAGTCAGCGTCGAAATACAATGAAGAATGGTTTTTAGGACAGTGAATATTTGCACGTGATGTGCAGCTGTTCAGGAATCCCCGTTTATGGCAATTTGCTGACCGTATTGACGGCCCATGACCTACGACCATTGCCTATCTGCGTTAGATCGCAACTAACAAATAAAAAATAATTCATATGTATACGATAAATACATATGAAACTAGCTGCGTATAAAATAAACAATGAAATTGTATTTACACGGCATAAGTCATTTTTAATGAAAGAGTGACTTACACTGATTGACTTCTGAACACTCCACTTTATATTTTCGGTGTTATTATGACTTCAATAATAATAAAGTATTAGCTTCTTTTTTTTTAATATACAGACACCTACTTTAACTATACTTTGGTATGTTCAGTAATCAGTGTACAGTAAGACGCATACTTGTCGAATAACAATCTACCAAATTGTGCTACCATTGATAATTCATTCAAGATATTTGCATTATATTATATCAACAAAATATTGAAAGTATACCGAGAAGAATTCAAGCAATTACAGGATGCAAAGGGTAGCATGACGAAATATTGATAAACATAATATTTGAGAAATTATAATCGTTGTTGTATGTCAGTGAAAACATAACAATATGTTTTGTAATAAAGAAGGTACCTACTACTATAAGTGTATTTTTAAATTCCATTCTTGATCAAAAGTCAAATAAGTGGTAGGTTGAAGTGTTCATAACAATTTGATCACCCACTGTATAGTTAGCCCTACGCGAAGATCACGTAGCCCGACGCGTCACGATACGTCTTCGCCGGTCTCTCACGGTAATGCGACGCGGGTAAGCGAACGCACCGTGCACGTGCCATTCACCCTGGACACGTGCACCGCGTGAATGGATAGCAGCAGACTCTGACTCTCTGCCTCGTCGCCGCCACTGCCCGTGTGCATCGAGAAAAGAGAGAACGGGCAAGACGGAGTCATCGCGGAGAAGGGGAGGGGCGAGGGGGAAGAGAGAAAGGGTGAGCGAAGCAACAGGCTGACACATATCGGACGAAGAGACTGAGGAACGGAGACAAGGAGAAGAAATGCAGACGAGGAAAGAACAGGGAACAAGAGGGGAGCGTACAAGCATAGATTGGCAAATTCATTATAATCTAGATATCTATTGGGTTGTTCGGAATGTAATTTAGAAATACCAATTTTTATAATAAAATGATACTTTCTCTTAAACGGGTACACACTTGGCAAACAATTATTTAATTCTGTTAAGCGTTTAAAGGTCGGGACAACGATCTTAGATACTGCTGCTCTTCGCTATGTACAGGGTAGATGATATACAAGGTGTCCCACGTAAGATCGAATACTCAAATGTTTTTATTATTTTTAATGATATGAGAAATGGTTCAAATACAGTTTAAATGGTTTCAGAAGGGGAGTACCGTAGATGGAACATTTATTTTAATGGTCATTCTTTTCGAATTCTTTTTTTGTTGCTGGTATTTTGTTGTCAGACAGCATGTACTTTTTTTTTCATCATGCAGGACGTGTTAAGGTGAATTTAAACATATCTTACCTATAACCTTGGGATGAATTTGAACATTCAAAAAATAAAAAATTACGAAGCATAATTTTGAGCATTGTCAACATAGAAAGTAAGCTTACATATAATCCTAATATTATTTCAAAATTTCATTATGTTTTCAATGTCACCCCAAGGTCACATGTTAGACATGTTTGAATGCACCTTAACATATGCTGTCCTACCTTAACATCTCCTGTGATACCTTACATGCTGTCTGGCCAAAAAATACTGGCGACCTAAACAAAATTCGAAAAAAAAAAAATGATCATAAAAAAGAATATTCCCAACAATATTCCCCTTCTGAAACCGTTGAAACTGTGGCTGAAACATTTCTCATATCATTAAAAATAAAAAAGATATTAAGTTTTCAGTCTTAGGTGAGACACCCTTATAACGGACTGACTTGAATATCCCGCTATTTGGAACCAAGAGAGTTGTTTTTCGTTCTGCTGTGGCAATTGTTTAGGGCATATATGGCGAATTAATTATGGAGCGTTACATGGTTCAACACAAAGTAATCATTGTCAAAACATTTTGTAAAAATAATTCGTTGATAACTGTGACTTGACGTAAGTTGAGTTAATATTTCGGTCGAAATAACCTGTCGAGTATTTTTAATATAAGATAATGATTTTGGGAACATTACACAGTTCTGAAGTTTGGAGCATCGTCTGTTTATCTCAAATATTTATATTGTAATTATACCTAGACTGCAGATATTTATGCAAACTTTCACTCTGATAGTCTATTTTACATGTTTTAGACTGACAGAAGAACATAAATTAGGGAGTTCATTAAGGTAAAAATAAAGGTGAAACATCATTGATCTTTGTTAAACTTTTTGTTTTATTGTGTTTCACGTATTCGTATGTTCTATGCAGTAGAACGTCGATTATGCGAACTAATTAGGGACATAAAAAATCCATTGTGACAAGCAGTGTGCTTAGATAATCAATCTCGAAGCACCAAAGTTGAAAAATATATCATAACACAACTAGGAATAGGACACAATTTAGGAAGGTTGATGTTCACCGTCTCAAAAAACACGCGGTAAATTTAATGTAAAAAATGAAATAATCTTCGATACGTAGCGTTGTATTTCTGCAAAGAATAAATATTCGAACGGTATCTATTTCTTCTCGCATTTTCGTTCATTTTAGTGGAATATCCGAGGCATGTTCAGCTTTGCAATTTAATAAGATAGTACATGGTCCCGACATTGCTTCATTGGTGCCATTATTCTCTTCAACAAACATAAAGGAAACAATATCATTGTCGTCCATAATTTTAATCAATTTTGTAACAAATTTATTTACAATATCAATTCCAAATTTCTTTCATGCGCCCGATTATTTTTATCTACTTCCACAACCACTACTAATTATTGTCATAATTGCATTTTTCATGTCACATGCAAACCTCTGAATTCGCTACGATCGATTACAATTTGGCCTGCATTATTATTTAAATCATTGCATAGCTCACCATAAACTCGCTTACGATTAATAAATGGTACATTTTCCCATGATTCGCCTAACATGTAGACCTAACTTCTTACATTAATTCTTTTCTAAAAAAAATCTAAGCCTCCCAAGATCACTGTAGTCGGCAAATAACAAATATACAAGTTTCAGAACGTACACAATTTTAGCATACGACTTTTGATGCCATAAACACACGACTCATCTTCCATTCCGATATAATCGACGTTCTACTGTGAATGCATAAGATCCGCAGTCCAATGATATAAAAAATAATGAAAAAGTTGCTGTAGAACTTCTATCTTTTTCTAGAATGCATTACGTAGCAATTTAAGTAAAAAAGAAGGAGTTTGTATTTTACTTGAACTGTACGTTCAAGCTGTACGATTGTAATCTGTATTAAATGTTTTACACTTTACCATTCATAAGAGATTTCATTGAACAAACTTATGTCCTGGTAGTTACAATTTTGTATGTCTCCATTAATTGTGAGACTTATTGGGACATATGGTCCCATTGTAAAGGACTAATGGGGGACTGTACATCCCATTTTCAAAACTATACTTAATCTATTTCTCTACATATTTGAGTGTATTACAGACCATAACATTATATTATAGAGTTCATCGTTAAAGAAAATCCGTTTCGAAATTGATTATCTGAACTTTATCCTTTCGAAATAATATTAAGTTGTACCATATGAATTTGCCATGTCTATAGATCGACACGAAAACACTTATTTTTGAAAATATAAATTCTATTCGACTGAACTATACGCCATGACGATTAATAGTTTTCTTCAAACGATTTAGTATTTTCCATATTGAATTTTTATAAAAAGTGGCATTTTCTGACTGCATAAATTCTTCAAACTCTACAACCATTGACTCTCGTTTAGGCAATGTTTTCTTTTTTAGAAGCAGCTCAGGATACCACAAAACGTGATCTTTTGTCGGGGAAACATCTGGCGAATGTCGTGACTAACGGAAGGCATCATAATTTAATTCAGCTATGCCCCGATTTAAATTCATATTAGAAAAGTATATTCAAAACTGTTCCATTGATACCATATTGTTTTGTCACGTAGCCAAACAATCACGATAAGAATTCAATAATCAAAAGAGATAAAGAAAGATGGTAATGGTACAATTTCTGATTAACACAACAAACAATGTAGATCATATTTAATTTACTACTACCGACAATTTCATTTGGTACGACCTGAATACATGTACGGTCAGTTTCCCAAAATATATGACACTTCCTCGTCTTATCTTTGGGAAGAAAAAATTACTGAATAAATTTTATACGTCAATCTAATCTCGTCCACCTTATGCCAGAACCATGAATGCGAAAATTTTCACCTTTTTATTAAAAATATGTGTCGAATGACATTTTTTGTTCCTAACTTTACGCCAAAATGGCAACATTCTTTAATATTATTTTGATATCTTTTTGTATTACTTTTGTATTTTGAATCACAGTTGCTGATGACTTACTGATCACCCTGTACTTCTGTGTGATTTCTTTCTGCTGTTATTATACCAGAATCAAAAATGGGATTGATGATTCTAATAAATGTAATTTATGATTTTAAATAAGACACTAAACGAAGAGGGGGGGGGGATAATAAAAAATTATTTTACAGTTACACTTAAATCTGACGTAAAAACCGATATCTGTAAGAAAATTTCAAAAAATTAAATCTCCAGAATTATCTTATTACATCTTCCATTTAACTATGACTTCCCAGTATCGATCAAATCCGCACATTTATGGTTCTAGCATAAAGGGGACGACATTAACCCTTCCATTCTCACTGTAGCTATATGGCTACGTATTCTACTAAATTATGAAATAAAATATTACTACTAAATAAATCCTCGATGAGTATTCAAAGGCTCCTCGGTACTGACAAGGAGATCCCCAGAGATAACGCTGACCTTTTAATGAGGAGCGCTCATCGAGGATTTACTGTATCGTGTATTTTTTCCTATCTGTGAATATATAATACTTTTTTCTGGTTTTGTATATATGACACGATAAAAATTTTGATATGCTTTTAAAGACTTATCGGTAAACTAAGACATTATTAGCCCTTTGTTTCTTTCTTTTGATTGAATTCAAGTGTTGAGTATTGTTACAAATTGAGTAGAAACTTACAAAACTCTAATTTCTTTCAAATATTTCAGGAAGGTTTAGTCATCAAAGGTAAGAAAAATTGGGATTTATTATGTATAATAACATTATACAGAGTCCTCTCGATTATCGTCTGGCTTGTTCTATACGATTATTGTCCAGGCCAGTGGTAGGGGGAGGCCGTGGAACCTGTCAAGCATATACTTTGTTGCCCCTTCGTTTTTGTTTCCGAGGCTCAGGCATCGGGCAAAAAAACGAATTTATGAGGGTCTAAAGCATTTCTTCCTATAAGATATCCCGACGCGGACCCGAATTCGGGACAATAATCAAGAGGAGTCTGTAATGGGGATTATTATGTATAACTGTGATAAAAGTAAAAAAGTTGCCGAGTGGCAACGAATTAAAAGTGGCATTAGACGGTTCCAAAATGTAAAAATGTTTGCTGTGAATCCTTGATATATTATATAATGTACACAAAAAAGACAACAAAATACTCGTTTGGTAATTTTCAAATAATCTGAGAATGAAAAGGTTAAGTAGAAAAGACAATGGTATTCTTACCCGTTTCGGTGCTTCTTGCTGTCGTGGTTCGTTTCAACGTCGACGACGAGATTGCCGGCGTTCTGCTGCGTGTGGTTCGAATTGTGATTCTCCACGTACGGATTATGCGTGCTGTTGTGATTATTGTGATGATGATGGTGATGGTGAAGTGGCGGCTGCTGCTGCTGCTGTTGTTGTTGCTGTTGTTGTGTTGGTGGCGGCGTCGGCTGTTGTTGTTGCTGCTGTTGCTGGTGTTGCTGGTGATGAGGGAGATGATGGTGGGACACGGTGTGAAGGGCTGTCAGGTGGCTCGGGTTTGCTGTCGCCGAGGGTGGTGTTATTCGCGTGCTCGAGATCACGGGACTTCCTCTAGAACCTGTCGAGTGATTCCCGTTCGTCTTGTTATTTTCCAGCGGCTCCTCCTCTGGAAAAAGTAAAATTATACTTTTATAAAAATACCATTTGAAATACTCTCAAACTCAATATATTTGGGGCCGGCGAACAAAATTTGTTGGGTTTTTGGCGTTAGGGTAGACAAAGGTGAATCGGATCAAAACGATTCGTAATGATTAAGGATCAACAGCTAAGTGAAATTGTTTAATCTGCACAAATCCTCCACGTATCGAAATCAAGCGTGGAAAACACTTTTCATCAGTTTGACCACGTCAGCCGGCTTAAAACTTGCATGAATTTTTTGGTCAATAGCTGCGATCCGATTACGCGCCAGGGCTGGAGATTGTAGATGTAAAGTTTTATTTTAACAAATTTTTATATTATATGGAATCTGCTCTGTTCTTTCACTCACTTGGGACATCATCCTATCGATAGATTTATCTCAAATTTTGATTAAGTTTTGCACAGTTTTTCACACATTCTGATCCAGATTTTCACAGATTTAACGGTTTCACTGATTTACAGAGACTTTGATCAAATTTTGAACAAAACTAAAGAATCCAAAAATATTCGACACACTTTATGGAAAGAAAACTTATTTCTCTAGGGCCTTTGACGGACTTTTGGAACGCTGCAAGCAGTGTCTTGAGAGGAGAAGCGTTTCTTATAAAGAATTGAATTAATAAAATTTGTTTATGTGCAAAATTTATGTTTACATTGAATTATTCCGGGAACTTACCGGCGAAACCGTGTACATTCGTGAATACTACTGTCAAGAAACTCTAAGGTAAATGATCAGGTGAGTGGTTCTCTCTACGAAAGGCGCTTCACAATGCCGAACATTTTACAGCCGGTAATTGCCGAGCACAGTTGGGCGATCGCGAAAGTTTCATTCTGGTAGGCATTCATGGAGGCACCGCAATTCCTTGCGGTCTACGATGCGAACGACAAAAGCCCCCCCCCCTTTGCCCATTCTATTCTACGCCTGAACCTGAATGGCTACGTTTCTCGCCTAAGATTAGCGGATGCCTCTCTGGAGTGGCGATGGGTTCGATACGTGCCGCAGTCTTGGCAACCATAACGTCACGCACACAATTGTACGCACACGTGAACGTCAAGTATCGTATTGTTCCATTCAGAACACGACGATTTTTGCAGTCTGAATTTTAGAACCCAAGAGAACATCTTTGGTCTCGGTAAAAAAAATGCATAGATTTGTTCGAACCCAACGACAAAAAGGTTAGTGTATAAACTGTTTGTTTGAGATTTCAAATTATTCCATTGACAGAGATATCCTGAGAGGTAACAAATATTATTGTATTAGGTTGTCCTAAATGAAACTGTCGGTTCAATGGGTCGAACAAAAACGCACCTTCGATACGATAATTGTGATTCATAAAATAATAAGTGTCCACCATTTGGATCAGTAGCTGCCTCTTAACCTTCATCCGGATAGAATAGCCTCTGAGGTTCTTCTATTATTTCATAATGAAAAATATAATATATACAATAAATAATGGAAAATTTAAATTTATTATTTTACAAAATAAATTAACTAAATTAAAAGTCAAATATTTTAGAATTATTAACTTCAGATAGTCTGTACTTAGAGCCTCTGAGGGTCTTCTTCATTCTATCCTGATGAGGGTTAATGAAAGACAAAAAGGCATATCCTATTTATGAGATAATTGTGATTTCAAATTGTATTCATTTTTGAAACGCCACTATTTACTTTTTCTTGATTAGGAAATATTGAATTTCTTAAAAGGAACTGCAGATCACATTTCCACAAATGAAAAGGCTTAGCAGACGTTCAAACGTTACCGAACCGTGTGCTCTCGAACGACCGAAACGTTTCGCTACTGACGATACTACAGGATTCGCAATTTTCGCGCTCGGATCTCCGCGCCATTCGTCGCAACGCTATAAATTAGCGGGAGCACGTGTACGCACATGCAGCTCACTCATTCATGTACCACCGAGGCGACTTGGCAAAGCCCTGTCGCATAGCTCGACGCTTCCTAAATCTATTTCGGGCTTAAAGACGGCGTGTACGGTACCATGAGAACAAGAAGCAAGAAAACGCGCCGACGATATACAGGGTGCAACAAAAGTGTTGTAAGACCGTGAAATGGGTCACTTGTGATGTGATTTGGAACAAATTTTTCCTTGACAAAAATGTTATCCGAGATTTTGTTAACGAGATATTAACGAAAAACTCCGACTGTAATTGGTCGGGTTTTTTTTTGTTAATATCTCGTTAACAAAATCTCGGATAACATTTTTGTCAAGGAAAAACTTGTTTCAGATCATCTCACGAGTGACCCATTTCAGAGACCTACAACACTTTTGTTACACCCTGTATACAACTTGTATTCGGTGCACGCTTGTATCGGGTGCCCACTCGCGACGAGTAACGCCGAAACGTGCCCGCTCACGACGAGATAATGTAACCGGTGAGTAACAAGTTTTCCATGGCTTTATTTCATTTGTTCGTTATTTTGTTCCGTCGAGAAGTTTAAAATTCAACTTAGGAGTTACCTTAACCCTATTGGGTTTACGCGCGTTATGCGACGACCGGTAGTTTCGTGCGATTTGATATTGAGTTGAATTTTGGATTTTAATTCAGGCTCAATTTAATTTGTAGTAATGTAATAGTTTACTGAACTCTGCACGAGGGTTAAACGAATTCTGTTACGAATCCTGTAAATTATCGACAAATAATTGGATTTCTTTATTGTTACAAAAAAGCACACTTCTCGCGTTGTAAAATGTTGATCAACACACAAAGCATTTTTTGTGCTGCATCAACCATCTCCAAATCTAGATTGAGACCCTATTGAAGACTTTTCTAGTTACGTGATACAGTGTTTATAAGTCGAAAACTTACGAAATGCGAACAAATTATTTTAGATAATGCGTCAAGAACGTTTTTTTTATTATTGTACTTCTTTTTCAATATAGACATTCACGAGTCTTCCTTAAACGTGCATGACTGTGTGGATGGAATTGCAGATCCAAAATACTTTTTCAGACTTGTACAAAAAATTACTTATATTTGACCCTCAAAATGAATACATCTTTAACAATAGATCTTCCTAGTGAATTATTCAGTTCCACGTTGCGAAAGAGACAGGTCTACACCTTTGGTTGCCAAGGTGTTTAGGTAGAAGTGGTTGACCATTGCCATAAACTTCCATTTATAAAAGAGTTACATTAAAAATCATTTAAAGAATGCCTCGTTAATGGTTTTTGAACTCATGTAAAAAAACATCAAGGTGACTTTTATATCTCAATAAAAGAAGAAAATAACAAAAAACTAATTGTTATATTGTACCCCCCCCCCCTTAACCGTATAACTTTTCCTTTTCAAACAATCTACACATAAGTTAATCTGGTAGAGTTAGGCGATTCACCCTGTATAAGATCACGAAATAATATTAGGATTACTGTAAATTTATTGTCCAGCCCATAAATCAAATTTCTGTAAAAATAATCAACAAAAAACAGTGACCTACTTATCCATTCAACAAATTTGTTCGAACATATTTTTCCAACATTTGCTAAACGTTAAATCGAGCTGCGACGAATATCTAGATGTAGAACCGGCATAAATCAACCTTAATTTTCCATTCAAATGATATGTCAATCAGTTCAACGCGGTTCAACTGGAATTTTTCTTGCAAACATTCATACATTCACCGTGTGTTTTTTTTTCCACGCGCAGAATGCATAATACATGCCTCGTATACCACCACACGCGGTGAATCAAATTGGAAAGATCAAACCGAGAGATTATATCTGCTGGAAAGGTTGTATTTTGAAATTTAATATAAATACATTATATTTATTTTCTTAACAAACTATTCACAAAGAGCAGTTATATTGATCTCGAAATCAACATTTAATAAAAAGTTTAGTAGTTAGAATAACAGTTTTATAATTTAAGGAAACCGATGCTTCGATTTCCAAAAATTGTATTTCCTACACAGTTTAATCTGAATAAATGGACGAAGAAACCGACGAAAACTACACGAATGTAGATTGTAAATCTATTTTAATTTCGGATTTCAAACCATCCGTTCATCCGGTAGGATGCCAGAAAGTGGGAGGCACACAGTCCGAAATCGACGCAACACTAATCGATACAATATATTGTTATTAATTGCTCAAAATATGTTTCTTCTGAAAAGAACCACTGCTCAAATAACTGTTACTAACTCTGGAAATAGCTCTGATCATCCTAGCATCTGAAAAATCCTTTCAAGATGGCGGACAGAAGCTTTCGAATGTACAATTTTCTACCGAACTGTGTTCCTTGCAACTTTATTTTGTGGAACAAAAAGTAGTCATAATACAACCTGTACCAGATTGTTTTTGGGCGAAAAGTTATGGAAACTGATGGCTCGAGAAGCAAAACATTTCGAGCATCATTCCTTTCCGCCATCTTGAAAAGAAGATTCTAAGAGCTCTTCAGAGTTTGTATAACTTACTTTATACTCTGCATTTGTTCAGGGGGAGTTACTTTAAATAATTCACGACTAATAATAACCAATAGGTATCTTCGAAAAAAATTAAATTTACTTTGGAACATTTGTAAAATACATTTCGCATGACATGATTGCTACAGACAGGTTACGTCGTTCACGAGCACTTCATTAATTATCACAGAATGAGCAAGCACTGAGTCACGGTATGAATAAAGGCTTTTATTAATTATAGTGGGATGACCCATAGGTGATCCCTATCCGTTAATTCAATCGAGGGTCGCACCGATCTGAACTAGAACTTTTAATCGATCTATTTATACCGTCAGATGTTTCGCATAAAAGAATCACAGTAACGAAAGAAAGGAGAAGCGAATTTGAATATTTCAATATTTTACACGACCATCATTCATTATTGTAAGAAATGTCCCGTACGTCGGATAGACACCAAATTTATGGCACAGAGATAACTGAACATCTGCAGGAGAAACTATTAAATCCTTCGCGAAAGAGAAACTGCACTGTTGGACTGAAGACTATCGAA